GTTAGAAAGTCCAAGATCAAGGTGCCAGTCAATTTAATTATTGTTCAGGGCCATCTTCCTGGCAGATGCCCAGCTTCTCATAGTATCCTCACACGGCATAGAGAGTACATGCTTTAATGACTCTTTCTCTTCTTATAAGGGTACTAGTATCATCATGGGGGTTCTACCCTCATGACCTCATCTAACCATAATACTTCCCAAAGATCCTAACACCATCACTTTGGAGGTTAGGGCTTCATAATATGACTTTTGGTGGTATTCAAACATTCAGCCCTTAACAGGTCTCATCTAAGGCTGAGTTTAGGGAACATCCAATTCCAAGCTTACTCACATAGTTGTTGGCAGGATTTGATTCCTGTGGGTTGTTGGACTGAAAGCCCCAGTTACTTTCTGGCTCTTGGATGGAAACTTCCACAGTTCCTTGCCACATGGGCCTTCCAACAGGGTAGCTCACATCATAGCAGCTGTCTTCCACCATAGGCAGCGAGTGAGAGAACAAGAGAGGGTGTGTAGGATGGGGACTATGTTCTCTTTGTAATCTAACCCGAAAGTGATGTCTATCACTTTTGCTATGATTTATTTATTAAAAGCAAGTCATTAGGCCCAACTCACACTCAAGAAGAGGGGACTACACAAGAATTGAATACCAGGAGGTAGGGATCACTGGGGACCTGATCCCAAAGCCACTGTGACAGTAGGACCTCACTTTTAGGTATGCAATTATGTTTCAGTTATCTATCGCTGTATAACAAACCACCCTAGAGCTTCATGGTTTAAAACAAGAGCACTCAATTTTGGGCTAACAATTTTGTAATTTGGGCACAACTCAGTGAATACAGCCCATCCCTCTTTTATGTGGCATGAGCTGGGGCAGCTAAACTAGGGCTGGATTATCCACTTCCAAGATAACTCACTGGCAATTGGTACCGGCTGTCTGCTGAGAGCTCAGCTGGGGCTGTAATCCTCTTCCACGTGGGCCTCTGTGCATAATTGGAGGGAAGTGATTGAATCTCAGAACTATTTAGGAAGTAAAAAGATCAGGAAGATGTTGCACAACAATGTGAATATACTTCTCGTACTGTATTCTTAAAAATGGTTAAGATGGTAAACACTATGTTGCGTGATTTTTAGCCACAATTAAAAAGTAATACATAAATCAGGGGAAGATGGTGATGGTCTGGAGGTGGGTGGGGGTGGGGTGAGGGAGAAAGAAATGTCAAAGATGACAGAACCCAGTAAAACACAGACTCTGGCCTCAAAAACCTCCTTTTGGTCCAGCAGAGGATGTAGAAGAGCTCATCACAATACATGTGGTAAATAGTGTAGCTTTCTGCTGTAGCACTAACATAGATACAAAGCCCATGCCTCAGAATAGACCTTAATGCCTGTGATTCCCAGAGAGAAACATTTAAGACATAATTATAGGTTTAGATTTCTTAAAGCACGCTTCAAAATGAACACTGCCAGAGAAGCAGAGGAGTAATGATAACTACAGGTGCATACAATCTTTCCCTATCACTACAGCATTTAACCTGGTAGTCCAGAAGCAATGTAGTAGGGTGGTGGACAGGACAGAAAGCAGATGTTTATTGGTCATTAGCCTTATTTTTCTAGGACATAAAGTCCCTTTGCTGGCTTATAACTTCGTGTGTCTGGAAACTATTGCTACTGCAGAGATCTCACTTTTAGAACTCTCTTTCTTTGAAGTAGTAAACAGGTCAGAAGGATCATTTATATCCTAAAGAAATGTACATTCCCCCACATCCCCACCACCCCACACAAACTCTTTTTCCACACTCATGAGATTTTATAAATAGCCAAATCTACAGATTTATATTGAGTTTTGTTGCCAACACAACTCTATTGTTCTTTCAAATAAGCCTAAGCCATTCTTAATGGAAAGGACAAAACAGGAGACCTCTTTTTACTGACATTTCCTCAACCCCATACACTTTTCTGAAAACACTGAATTTCACTCTCACTGTTGACTATATATTCTAGGTCTCCCTGCTTTGTTGTCAACTGCCTGATGTCTCAATTGACTGGCTGAGTGATGCAATTTTATTTTTTATTTCTTGAAATCTCACCAGCTGTTTATTCTGCACAAGCTCTCTATCTGGGGTCTCCCCTCTACAAAATAGTGAATAAAGATCACTACCATGACTCTGCCTAGTGCCCTTGTAGCTTTCTATGCTGAGACAACTAACTCTTCCACAAATTCAGACCCTCCTGCCCCATCATGGAGGGATATAATGTCATTCAAGCCTGAGAATCAAAAATGATGTGTTCATTCATTCAAAATTAATTATTGAGGGCCTACTATGCATTAGGCACTGTATAGGCATCGGAAACATAACAATGAAGTCAAACAAGGATCCTCTCATGAAACTTATTCTTGTTTTTTTATCCCAGAGATTATTTGACTTTTAACAATGGACAAAGTGCTGGTTTGGCTTAAAGACAAAGGAATCAGGTTGTAGGTTTGGAATTAAGCCACTTTTCCCTGGGTGGGGGTAGGGGAGGTTCTCCCAGCATCCTGGAATCACACATCTTCCACTTACTTATACATGGAGTCTGACTGGAACTATCAATGACTAGATCAACCGTCATTTTTCTTGGGCCTTTGCCAGGCTCCAGCAACACAATGCCTTTCTGTGAAGTAGATTCAGTAAAAGGCAACAAGGGCCAAGGAGGGTAAAGTGCTGGCATTACTGGTCAGCACAGGGGCCCAAGACCACCCCTCAGCCATTGCTCGGGAAAACATTGCCCCCTCGTGGTTCCTCATATAACCAAGTGAGGAACTGGCAGTGGAGCCGGCCGTCCAAGTTTCCAGATCAATTGTAGTCGTTGCTTCCTCTGAACTTCAATAGCAATTTGAATAGATTTTGGGTTTATTTTCACCCAGAACACAGCTTTCTTTTCCCACAGAGAGAAATGACATCCCGACAGCAATTAACTCTCTGTATGAAAATCGGACTCCCCTCACCACGAAGAAAAATCCAAGTATCTACTGTTTTCTTCATAATGCTCTTAAAGCAGATCTTTTCTTTGCTTTCCACAATTTGAACCAGGATCTGCAATGATGTTGCCGTGGAGTTGTTTTGGTATCTTGTCGCCACAACACCACTTTAAACTCCCCAACACGGAAGCCTTATCTTCACCCCATTCCCAGCAGCACTTAAACCAATTGGTAAAGAATGTCCAGGGGGGTCGAGGAAAAGAGATAAACAGTGAAGCAAGCAAATAAATAATTAGAAATTGTGATCGTTGCTGTGTTAAAGGAACAGCTTGCTGGGAGAGAGAATTCCTGGGAGTGGGAAGTGGAGCAGAGCCTACCGACGTATGGAGTTTAAAATGTGTGTTTGTAGCGGTCACGTTTGAAAAGCTTCAATGATCCAGGATTGGAAAAGCTCTCTGTGGCCCAGGAATAAATGGGAGTTTCCTGAATAATAATGTTAGTTTCCATGTATTGTAAACTTCGACTGGGTAATGGGTGTTAGGTACTATCGCTTTATCAACCTACAATCTTCTCTCGCAGCAAACTCTTGGGAGATAAACATAACTGCTCCCATTTTACAGGTGAGGACAGGAAATCACGCGGTCCTTCCCAGGTTGGTGCATAAACAAGCCTCGCGCTCTGACCTCCAAGCCCCAGTTTCTAAGCTGCCTCGACCCTCTGAAGGTCATCTGTATTGGCCTCCATGTTCGGCTTGCAGGGAGGAATATTCCCTTAGCGAACAAATACTTGTCCGAGTGTCTACTGTATACCAGGTAGCATATTTAAAAAGCCGTGGGATTAAAAAGATAAACAAGTCACGGTCTTGTCTTCCAGGGAGGCTCTCTCAAAAAAGTGGGAAAGCCAGCCAGGTAAACAAATAATTCCAGAACAGTCTGATAAGGGCTGCGAGGAATCTGAACGGGCCCCGGGAGCCCAGCGGAGAGCGGCGGCGGCCGGTGCGGGGAGGCTGCAGGGTTTCGGAGGTCCTGGCGTGGGAGGTGGCTTGAAGCTGTGTCTCAAAAAGCCGACGCGGGCCGCCCCCGGATGTCACTCGAGTTCTTGCATCCTGTCATTTCCAGCTGCCGACTAGGAAGGGAAGAAATGGGTCTAACCCGGCACTGAAAGGAGGGGTAGACTTAGGGGCAGGAGTGCAAGCCCCTCGTGAGAAGCCAGCAAACAAAAGTAGCACATCACACTTCGCTGAGGTCGTGCCGGCAGGGCCTGGCTCGCGAAGCCCCGCACCAAGTTCGCCAACTCGGCCCCGCACGGTCGCCGGGGCGCCGGGGCGCAGGCTCACCAGAGGTTACTCCGAGGACCTGACCGTCCCGCCCGTTCAGCGGCCCTAAGCCTGGAGCCGGGGCTGGGTGTCGGCCGCAACCCCCGCGGCCCCTCCCTGGCGCGCGCCTGCGGGCCGCCCGGCAGCCGCCCTCGGCGCGGCCCCTCCTCTCGCGGGGGGCTTCGCAGTCCTCGTCCTGTCCCTCCCGGCGACAGCCTGCTGCCCTGTCCAGGGAGGGCGGAGGCAGGAGGAGGAGAGGGAGGGGAGGAGGGAGGGGAGAAAGGAAGGCGAGAGAAAGGGAGCTGCTGGGATCCCGGACTTCCCAGAGCCTGCCTGGAGCGCGCACGCAGCGCCTCTCGGATCCCAGCGCCCCGTTGCTCCGCACCTCCACCTCCCCCTCCTCTCGGGCGCCCCTCGCCCCCTCCCTCCAGTCGCTGCTAGGCTCGGGCCGCTGCCGCCCCCAGCCCTACTCGGCCGCATCCCCAACTCTCTGGGGTCACTCCTGGGACGCGCGTCATCGCCCCATCCTTTCTTCCTTCCTTCCCTCGCGCCCGCCCTCGCTCTCCAGGTCTCCCGCCCGGGTCCCGATTGTCTCCGTCCCCTCCTCAGGCAGCCGGCGCCTCGCCCTCCCGGAGTCTCCCTTGCACTTCCTGAGCCGCCCGCCGCCGCAGTCGCGCCGCGCCCGGGAGCCCGAGCCGCCGCTGCCCCGGCTCCAGCCCGCCGCGCCCGGGGAAGGGAAGAGTGGGCGAGCTCGCCCTCGCCCAGCCCGGCGCCCCAGCCCTGCCCGGCGAGGAAGGACCGGGAAGATGAACAACGGCGTCAAAGCCGAGAAGGAGAACACCGCGAACGAGGCCAACCTTCAGGAAGAAGAGGTACGGGTGGTGCGGTGCGGCGGCCGGCGACCTGGGACACCGGCCGCGCGCGGGCTTTCTCCAAAGTGCAGGGAGAGCTGGCGGGCGCGGGTCTCGGGGCGCCGCGGTCCAGGGGCGGCGAGTTGCTCCAGACCGTGGCCCCGGGAGGGTGTATCCTCGAAGAGTGTATTTTTGTGGGTGCTTGCCTAAAATTGCGTAACTTTGAGGACTTTTCGGAGACTTTCTGTAAGCATAATGCTCAGCTTTGTTTGCCCGAGATTTTAAAAGCAGAATCGAGAACTGACTCCTGGGTGACCCCAGATTATTGGGACCCAGAGGGTCAGGACTTGGTTCTGCGTCCGGCGCTGGAAGTTGTGGGGTGTGTTTGTGTATGCAGTTTAAGGAAGAAGTCGGGAAAAGTTCGTCCTAAGAGATACCTTGTGCTCCCTGCCCCCTCCCTTCTAGCGTTGAAAGTTCTTGGTGAAATGTCTTTCCAGCTGAGGCATTTTGGATTAATAGATAACTCCTGAGCCGCATTCTTCTCTGATGAGTCAAAGACCCCGAACCTGGGTGACTAGGTTTTGTAAATTCAGGGCGATGCGGTCGTGAGGAGCAGGAGGGGGAAAGTGTCTAAAACTTTACGTTTTACTAAATGATCACCGAGGCTATTTTAATAGGACTTGGACTTCTGAGCGTGAATTTCCTGTGGTGGGTCCCTAATAACGACAGAAATGTTGCGGCTGCGCAGCGCTCCTTTGATAGAAACAGAGTTCAGTGAGGGTAGGAGGGGACTCCTGAACTCAGGGTTCAGAATTTTGTCATTAGCGTATTTGTGGTATCCTATTCAAGGTTCTGCTCCTGCAGGCACCTTATCTGGAGTCCAAGAAACCGTATTTTTCGCCTACTTTTTAAGAGCCCACCTAGTTGAGTTCTTAAACATTCTAAAAAGAACTTAAGTGTGTGTGGATGCAGGCACGCATATAGCTAGATCCGATCTATAAGGCATTCTTATAGGTATTGCATCCTAGTATATAAGGTTAACAGAATGGTAGGCAGATTCTAAAGCCGTTAGGGTGTTGAGATTATTACTGAAATATTGTGTTATGCGCAATCTAAAATTCTGATAGTGAAACCAAACTTTGTGGAGGATTTAATAAATACATATAAGCCACCAACTCATTGCCCACTTGTAAAATGGGAACTATTTAAATGGAGAAGATAGAGGAGAGATTTAAGACCATGCAAAATTAGTACAAGATTTTACTCTTAACACAATTGTATGGTAGTGTAACCTAGGTGAATTGCAGCAAGCCAAAACTTGCCTTCTCACCTGAGGAAATTGCCTATTTGATTATAAACTGTTATTTTGAAAAGTGGTGTTTACATTCTTCTGTTTAACTACAAGTGAAGGAATAGTATAGACATTTTCAAAGAGATGAAGATTCAAATTTCAAGTTCTGCTTTTTTCTTGAACCTTACTGACTGCTTTGCTATTTATTTTCCCTACCATTGAAATAAAATTTAAAAAACAATCACAAGCTTGCCTTTGTAAAGAATTGCTACATTGAACTAATTCACCTAACACAGCATCCAGGTAATAATTGCTTCAGAAACTTTTCTTTTTCAGTTAGGTTGGCAGTCTGTTTACTTCTAAGAATGAGAATATATTGTATGAAACAATCTTTCTCTGTTCACCTAATTGAGAAAACTTGTAAATAGAAAAAGTTATTCAGGCAAATCAAAGATTTTTTTTTCTTTTGGTAGGTAGCAAAAGAGGTTTGCGTTTCCCAAGACCATAACCTACTTAACTTGATAAAATTAAATAGAAAAAAGTCACATTTTTCTGCTTGACCTTTCTCAACCTAACTGCTGACAGTACTTGAGTTGTTGCCTGCCCTGTTCCTGGTCACCTAACACATGAGGTTGTGTCCTAGTAGAATCACAGGAAGAAGATCACAGTACAGTCACCTCTTACCTATTCCATTGTCCTTCCTGACTGTTCCTTTTCAGGTGGGCATGGCATGTGGCTCTAGGAAGTGTCGGTCACTTTAGCAAGGGTATTTGTTGTTTTAAAAATAAGAGGACAGTTAGGAAGATTTCAGAACCCAAGTCGTATAAGAGGTGGAGTGTGCAAACACACACCATGAAGAGAGAGGGTTTATAATGTTAAAAACTGAGGAAAAGTGAGTAAGTTGGTCTGAATGATCGAGGTAATTTTGCCCTAATTCCATGTTTTGGGTTTATGTTTTGATTTTGAAAAACTCCTAACCTCTTTTGTCTAACCCTGAAAGCCACAAGTAAAATAAATATGGTTTTTAGTGAGTCCCATTAATGTGCTCAGCATTATACAAAACCACCACACTGGATCCTTTTCCTGCCCACCCAGCGATCAGCAATTTGTCCTCAAACCCATTTAAAAGTCTTAGCTGAGGACTCCAGTAAACAGCACACACAAACAAAATGTATATACACATAATGACAAGAGAGGAAAAATGTGTAGTTTCTGGTGGTGATTGAACTGCTGGGGAAGAGAGAGTCCAATCATCATTAAGAGAAAATAGTTTATTTCATAGATCATCAGGGTAATTTATGTTTTCTCAGCCACATTATGGAATCCAAGCATTTTTTCCCTCGTTTTGTAAATAAGTTTCTTTGCTTTTCCTGGACATTTATTCCTGCTTGGAAGTTTCTAAAGCTTACTCTGAAATAACTGATGCAGAAACACTTACATAGTCCCAACTGTATAGATTGAATGGTCTAGGATTTAGGAGAATTTTTGCAGCTTTTTAAGGTGCAAAAACTTTTGAAAGTTTTTGAGAATTTGGGTGCTTTGAATGATACTTAAAACTTTGATTTAAAACAATAATTTTGAGAGTTGGCTATCCAACTATGAAGAGATAATACATCTGACTTTCTGATTTCTAGTATGCTATACTGTGTATTCCTATGCAAGTAGTTCCTAAAAAGAAAAAACACTTGTCAAAATCTCACTGGGATCTGAGATTTATAAGGCTTATATATATGACATTAAATTATTTCTTAAATCATTTTACAATTAATAAAGTAATTCTAGAATTTGCCTATAACTTTGGACTAGGCATTATTTTCTCTTTTTTTCTTTATTGTTGAAAGTATTAGATGTGCCTCCCCCCCCATTGACACCCCACTCCCCCCCTTCACTGCACTGTTGTCTGTGTCATACATGCATAACCAGTATTCTCTTAAACACCATTGGCAGTTTGCATTTGACCAGACGTTATTAAAATTAATATACAAGTAATGGACCTATACTTATTTATCTTATCAGTTGTTTTCAATATTGAGATCTTTTAAAATTTAGTAGTAGGTAGAAATAATTTATTTTTGGTCATCGAATTTTCAAAATAAGAATTTCTTTTTTGGAAATCGGCTAAATATATAATTTGGTTTTATTTTTACTTTAATCATTGGGTGATTAAAGTTTCATTGGGTACTTTTTAGGCTGATTACAAATTATTTTTTAAAAGTGTTTTGTTATGTTGAGATTCTGGTGTTAGAGTGACTTCTCCTTAAATTGCTTTGACTGAATTTTCTTGTACTTAAGAAAAGCAAAAATCTTAGCCTTCCTTTGTAACGTTCCTCTTACTCTGTCCTTTATCCTGCTCATTTTAGTCATCTTGAGCTGCTCTCTTTGTTCTGATCTGTGTTCCCAATCCATCCCTTTGCCATAGTGCTGGGGCCTCAGATGCCTCACCTCCTTCAGCACTACTATGCCCTCTACCCAGTAAGGTCCAAATCTGACCTTCAAGATTGCCTTAACATACCTCTGTACTCTGCAAACCATTTGCTTCAACCACCCTCTTTCTCTTGATTTAACCCGAGCTGCTTTCAAGGCAGGAGCCACATTTCAGCCTACATTTCTTCAGGATCCCATCACTTGAATGTCCCAAAGAGGTGATTTTATCAGAATTCCAATTATCTCTCTATTATCTTCATTTAACTTTGTTATCTCCATTTAACTCCTGAATCATTACCTTCCTTCCTGTAGTTTTTTAAAAAATACCAATGACCTCTCCTATCATGGTATTCCCAATACTCAACACCTACCCATGGGTAGTACCTCAGCGCCAGAGAAGTCTCACGTACAGTTGCAAGCAACACACACACACACACACACACACACACAGTTCTACACACACATAACTTATAAACATATGAAATAGCCTGTTGGTAGTGTTGGTGATGATGACTTTGCATAGTGAAGCTGTTAAAAAGCAGCCACTGTTTCTGATTGAGATCCCTTGCCCACAGGGTATTTAGACAAGTCATGGATGGATCAGCTGGGAAATTAATTCCCTCCACCTGCACTCCATCTGAGTGCACAGGTGAGCGCGCCTGGACCATCCAACAGTCACTGCCAGTGTGGGCCCGCTCACTCCGAAATGCATTTGGGTTTTCACCATTAGAATTTGGTTTCTGCTGGAACTCACTTTGATCCTGTGGACATGGGCTTCTAGAAGCCTTGCTGGAAGAGCACAGAGCTCCCTGAGTTCCCAAACAAGCCTGCTCTGTGTGACAGCCACTCTGGAATGTTTGTGTTCAGTCTCATTTGGCACCTTAGTGTCTGCCTGGGGACAGGGGAGAGGGAATGCAAAAGTTCCTCTTGAACAGTGCTTGCTTTGGTCAAAGAAAAAACGTAGGGAGGAATGAGGGGAATGAACCTTAATAATAGCTGCAGCAAAAGTGGCTGCACGGTTCAGTGGGCTTGAGGCCATGTGGGACCGGATATTTAAATTGACGCTGTGTTGATATCAGCATACCATCCCTGATGGGGATGAGCTTGTTTGATATCTGCAGATAACTTGGGTATGACTCTTTAACATGAATTGGAAGACTGTTTTAAACAACTTTGGTGTAGTGTGTGTGTGTGTGTGTTAGGGCAGGGAGAGGGGAGTGCTTGACTGTATATAAAAATACACATGTAAAACCAATATACATCTTTGAGTTTATCAGAATAAAGTTGCCCAACTTGTCATTTTTAC